ATGTGGAAGGAGGCCAGTTACTTCCAGCCAAGTGCTAGCTCTCCTCTTGTTTATTTCATTTCTCTCTCTTGGGGCTTTTTTCTCCCTTGCTCAAGCTCAAGAGTCAACACTAAATTATTCGCTCCCCTCCTGTCCAAAAGCTGGGTGTCCTGCCTTGCCAGAGGGGTCCTCGGCAGCTAGCCTTGCCCGTGCTGTGTGTTGGAGATCCTATTCCTTTCCCCAGAGCTCAGCTCCACTTCCTTGGGCAGAGGGCGCTGAGCAGCGGGGGCCCCTGCCAGGGTGGCAGCTCCCCGGAACCCCTTACAGGCCCCTGGGGGTTTTCTCAGCTGGGAACACCCAGGCCTGGCAGAAACAGCCCGGGGCTCCTGCTGGGCTGGCAAGGGCGAGGTCAGGGTTCTGTAGGGTCCCACATCCCTGTGGGTCTATTGTATATTCCAAGCGATTCTGACAAAATGAGCATGCAATGTATACTTCTTTCATTTGATAAAAGAAATTCCGTAATTTAAAAAACATGCCGCTGAACAGCAGACAACCAAGAATGTGGTGTAGATTCCGAACTCAGTCTCCTCAGGGCCCTTATCAGGAGGACAACACAGGCCCCATGCATGCTGGCCTTGGGCTTGTCCTGTCCCTCTTCCCCAGGGCACAGGTCCTGAAGTCACCACCACACATGGCAGCCACCCAGCCGAGGACAGGGCTCAATGCAAATGTGAGGGCCTTAAACCTGCCACATTTCCCTTCCCCAGATGTGCAGACTAAAAGCAAAAACAAAACCCAAACCAGCCCTTCCTTATATTCTCTAACACTAAAGGGCAGATCCTCGAGGCCCACAAGAAAGAAACGGATGGACAATGAAACCCAAAAGCCAGCCCCAGAAAGGACAACAAAGAATTTCACATCCTGTTTGCAGGAGGAAATGGAGGCTGGAAGCAGCAACTCCCCAGGGCTCCATTGAGCCTGAGAAGCTTGTTTCCTTCCCCATAAACAGAGCCCCGGCCCCTGTCGATTCTGGAGCTCCCTCCTGCCTTCCACTCCCAGTTGTTTTTCTTATAATCCTCGACTCAGTCCAACCTGGAGCCTGGCCCTGTGGCCAGCTCCTGATGGCTTCTGGAGGGACAGGGAGGGAGGGTGTTGGGAAGCCACCACTGTCATTGTGACATCTCCTTTCCCGGGCCATCCAGGGGGCTGGCTTCTGACCCTCCACCGCTTTTCCCTGGCTGCAGGTTATTTAATTTGTTTGTTTCTTTTATAAGGATAAATGACAATTGGAGCACTATTAGTAATAGACCATAATAAAACAACAGGAAATGACCTAAATTCCTGGACATTCAGAAACTGTTAAAATATTATGGCGCAAATACATATACATATCAGCAGACAAGAGAAAGACCTGGAGCTGTTAGTAACTAGCAGCCCAGTTCTTTACACAAGGACATGGACACTTCTCTGGCACCAGGGCACCATGATCCCCTTTTGCTTTTATAACAGAGACACAGAAGTTTACTGATGCCATGTTTGGATTTGAAGAAACCAATTTGAAGAAACCAATTTGAAGAAACCACCTGTAAGATGCTATTTTCAAAATAAAGGAAATGTGACTACAAACTAGTAAAGCCAAGGATTTGAACTGGTTTCCAAAATGTGTTTTGGGGTTTCTGTTTTTTTTGGTACTGGGGATCTAACTCAGGTCCTTGCACTTGTGCAGCAGGCAGCAAAACCACTGAGCTAAATCCCCGGCCCCCTCTGTTTATTTTTTGAGACAGGGTCTTGCTGTGTAGTTCAGACTAGCCTTGAACTCACTATGTGGCCCAAGCTGGCCTTGAATTAGTAGTGACCCTCCTGCCACCACGCCCAGTTTTAAAATGTGCTTTTAGAAATGTTTTATGTTAAGTGTGGCATGTATAGCTACGTGAGACAATGTCCATATTTTTTGAAGATGGACAATAGAGAATGCAGGGAGGAAGTGACATGGTTTTGAGGTTTGTTTTTAAATAACTTAGAAAAGAAAAAGAGAAAGGCTGGGTGAAACAATTATTGGAAATGAGTACATGGAGGCTGATTTGCCCACTGTCTTATGTTTGAAGTTCTCATACTGAAGTCCTGGACACGCAGGAAGGGTGCAGAGGGAGCCCAGCGAACAATATGCGGTCACTTCCCACCTCCTCTACAGAGCCACAGGCAGCAGGCTCAGCTCTGCAGATGTCCCTCCCCACCCTGCAGAGCAGTGGGACCAGTGGGATGGATGAAGCCAGTGGCCCCGAATGAGGACCCTCTGGGGCTTCCTCCTGATCACTGCCCTACCCGGATAGAAGTGACGAGCGTGGTCCCTGAGGAGCTGGGGCAGAACCGCTGAGCTGTGCAAGCCTTCAGGACCCCGTCACTGCTGACCTTGTGCCCCGGGGAGATCCCTGTGGTCCTGTCTCCGGGGAGGGCCGCTGTCCGCGTCGTCACTCCCAGAGATGTCCTGCCAGCTGCAACTCTTCTCTCTGCCACCCCAGAGAGCAGTTACAGAAGCCACAGTCTCAGGACGAGCATAGTATTCTATAAAGCTTATGGGTCACTGGACAACTTCCATGATTAATAACACATTATTTGTCTGCCTGAGAATTTTTTTTTTTGGTACCGGGGCTCGAACTCAGGACCTTGCGTTTGCGAGGCAGGCGGTGGAACCACTGAGCTAAATCCTCGGCCCCTAATAACACATTATTTGTGACACAGCTCTCAATAGATGAAGCCCCCATGATATCTTTCACACTGAGGTTAAGACCCCTGGGAGTAGGTATCAGTCACCTACACGGGGTCCCCCCCATGTCTCAGAAGCCAGCAGGCCCACAGCCCACCTGGCTGAATGAGGAAGCAGCTCAGAAGCCCCGCCCCTCTGGGCCCGAGTGACACTCTCTCTGCGAGTTACAGACCGCAGCCAGATGCTGTCCCCCTGAAAACGGCTGCAGGATGAGCACAACTAGTGTTACTGGCTGGCAGTGCTCATAGAGGAAGGAGTGCGAGGTCCCAGGAGACACGTGCGTAGTGACTGTTTTACTATTAGGTCACCTTCTGCCACCCCATTCCACAGCCAGCTCCTTGAAATTTAACTTTGTTTTCTTATGCTCAGCACAGTGTCCAGCACAGCATAGTTCTCAAAATAGGGTACTGAATGCACAAATCCTTTCACCCATCCATCCATCCTCCCATCCACCCACCCATCCACCCACCCATCTATCCATCCACTGATCCACCCATTCATCCCTCCACCCATTCACCTACCCATCCCTCCACCCCTCCACCCATCCAATGTGTACTAAGCAGCTGCAAAGTACCTACTATTGTTCTGCACACCAGAAGCAGATCGGTGGATAAAACAGCAAGATCCTGGCTTCCTGTGCTCATGTTTTAGTTGGGAGAACAGATAAGCAAATATATAATTGGCTAGAGGGAGAAAATAGAGCAGAACCAAGAAATTCAGAAGAGCCAGGATGGGGATGAGGCTGTCCTTCATGTATCACAGAAGGTCCCTCTGTGAGAAGGTGACGTCTGGACTGAGATGAAGGAAGTTGAGAGAACAAACCACACAAATATCCGCAGGAGGTGGGTTTCAGGCCAAGCGATGGCACTGCAAAGACCCCGAGCCCAACCCATGGGTGGTGTATTTCAAGAATAAAGAGCCCAGTGTGGCATGAATGAGAAAGGCTTTTATCGCTTTTATTTCATAAAAAATGGACACATGACAACATTTAGAAATTGAAAAAGATGCATTAAAATATTCACAGAAGTACAATCGAAAAAAGAAAAAGATCAAAAAAGAATTATGAACTTGATGGTTTTCCTCGAGCAGGATGCATGTCCATGGAGAAACTAGACAGGCAAAAGTTTTAACTTCCGAGTTAGCCCTTTAGGTGTCTCTTTACAAAACTCACATGTAATTCTAAGAGGTCTTGTTCTACCAAGTCCTAAGGCATGGGAAGGACAGGCCTGCCCCTGGGATGTGACCCCACTGCAGCTGGCAGCCAGCACGGGGGCAGTGAGGGCCGGGAAAGGGCTGGGAAAGGGCCGGGACCTTGGCCAGAGACTGTGCAGGAGTCAGGAGGCCTGGGTCAGGCCGCTCTGGGGGGTGGCGGCCAACTGTCCGCACTGGGGACCGGTGAGGCCCAGGATCCTCTGCCAGAACTGGCACTGCTAGAGGGCGAGGGTCACTGGGCAGGGGCAGGAAGGAGGCAGCTCGGGGACAGGGAGGAAAGGCACAGGTGCCACTGGAAGTGCCTCCCCACCGGGGCCGGCTTCACACATGGACACGCACACCCTGGGCTCTGGGCGACTTGTATGCTTCCCACCTGAAGCAGCTGTGTGTGGAGGCCCAGCAATGGTATCGTCATGTCAGCACTGGTTTGAGGGACAGAGACAATCCCAGCACCCCTTGAAATACATGAAAGAGGACTTCGAGGAAAAGCTTGGGGTACAAGGCAGAGGGGAGCACTTCACTTTGTGAGGTGGCCCGGGGAAGCTGCTCTGTGTTAATCCTGTGTCTCCTTGAGCTGGACCCGTGAACCCGGAGAAGCAGAGACAGAGAGGACACAAACCAGGCCATGCCCAGCTTCAGCCCACATGTGTGTGGTGACAAAACCGATCCCACTCACACATACGGAACGGACAGTGGAACAAACGGTTCCTCAGAAAATCAGACCTCATGTGTGCGACAGGTGAGATTTGAAGCTCACCTTTGAGGCCCTTTTCCCGTTCTTCTACCTCGTATGCACCATCAAACCTAAATCGGGCTTCACTCTCTTGGTCTTCATCCTTCAAGCACTCCCCAAAGATGCAGAAGACAGGAAGGAAAAAGGAAGCAGCTTCCACTGGACTCAGCATGGGAGGAAAACCACCACTCCCCTCGCGCCCACTCACCCCAGCTCGCTCTGCAGCCACCTACGTGGCCTGCTTCCGTACTTGCAGCTTCCAGACAGCTTTAGTGGGAAAAGTTTCTTTTAAAACAAAGCAACCACGAAAAATGGGAGAATGACAATATAAATAACTTTAATGATCTTCACCAAGCTTATCATTCCCAGATTCAAGGCGGGGTCGAGGATAGTCATTGGGAGAAAGAGGTTTGGAAAGAAAATTCATGATCTCTTCTTTTCCTCATCTTACTGTTTATCAATTCCAAGTCATGGGGGAAAGTAGAAAAAACCCAAACCAACCCAAAACAGAGAAGAGAGTCTCAAAGCAGCAGTTCTAGCCCTACTTGATTTGTTTAAATCTTGATGTCCTTCAACCTCACAGATCTGAGGTATCGGAAGCTGTGATAAAAGCTGCGCCTGGTGGCCAGAAACAGCCTCTTCCCTGGCGTTGGACTGAAGCTCTGGGGTGACCTGGTCACCCCTCTCGCCTGCCTTCTGCTTCTTCCACATGGGGCAATTTCAAGCCGGAAGCCCTTCATTGAGGAGGGTAACAGCTACCTTTCCCCTCCAAGTGCTGCTGTGCTCAAGCAAAGGCTGGGCTTTTTACTTTAATCGCCTCTATGACATGGAGCTAACTTACCTAGGGGGAAATGACCTTTGCTATAATGAACCCACAACTTGATACACTGTACTTAAATGGTATGATATTAAAGTGACTCTACACGACATATAAAAGCTTTTTTTAAAAAAAAAATGCCCTGTAGTTTAGAAAATCATCAACAGAAACTTCTCAGACTGTCTTCAAGTGGCACAGTTAATGGACGCTAAGAGCTACAACCAAATGTGTCTGTCCCTGTGTTAAAGGCCACCCTGGCTAGAGTTGCATCACGGCATCTCAATCCTCTAACTACAATAAATGCTAAGACTGGTTGAGCCCTTGATGAAAAGGCCATGTCTGCTGGAAATACTAAAAGGTGTGCTACTGTCTCCTTTAAGGCAAACGATAGCTAAATGACGGTGATAGGAATGTTTCTGAAATTTCCCAATTGTAAATGACCCTGAAAGAACATACAAAAACAGCAAGACACTTTATACATACACGGAATCACAACAACATTTCATCATGCAACACCGGCTCCTCACATCAGGAAGATTAAATAGAACATTTATACATATCCTTTATACATGTCTTTGTCCCTCTCTGAGTACACATGTGTGTGTCCTTCCTGGGTCCCCAAGGCCACACTTGGTTATGGGCTACATTTTCTGCACAAGAGTCCAGTTTGGGTTTGCTTCTTGCTTAGGATATGTTCTGGGTCTTCTCTAATTCTTCCGGATGTCTGCGTACACCACAGACTCTGACTTGTTGATCTTGTCACTGTGATGACCGCCAGAGTGGTCTAGTTGCGCATATATGACTGGGCCCTAGAGACGAGAGGCAGAATTAGAGGTCTGGAAAAACTGGAGGCTCTCGCAGGAATAGGCATGGAAGTAATCCTTAAAATGGCAACACCATGGTTCCAAAGCAGACTTCCTGCTTCTGAACAAGAAGACCTCTGATGAACAATACATCCAGGTCTGACTTTAAAACACGATTGGCCATACACTGAAAATTGTTAAAGCTGGTACTTGGGGATTTGCTATATCATTCTCTATACTACTGAAACTTTCTGTAACAATATACTCTTTCTTCTTAGAAATGTCCTTTTTTAACATCTGGTACCTAACTCTTTAATCTTTGCATTGGAATCAGAGATCTCTGGAACCAAGGAGAGTATTTCTGTCAATGTGGAACCCACTGAAATCATGAATAATCCACATAAAACCCAGCATAGTGAGTAAAGATATAATCAATTTAAACTAGATACTTTAGGGGACAGGGATTTAGCTCAGTGGTTCCAGTGCCTGCCTCACAAGCACAAGGTCCCCAGTTCAATCCCCGGTACCTAACAAATAAAATAAACTAGATACTTTATACAGATAGGTATTTTATTTTTTATTCATTTTGTTTATTTATCAGTTTTCATTCAAGATAACAAGTTGGTTCTCCATCCCTTTCTAAAGGTGACCAATTGTCATCCTTTTCTTCCTAAATATGAACTCATAGATTTAAACATACAGGATGAATTTCAATCCATTGCAATTATTATCCTTGTTAAAGCTGAAATGGTACTACAATAAGCCAGTCGGAGCCTCATCAACATGGTTCCTGAGTATGGTGGCATGATTCTAGTTGTCTTTGAAAGCATCTTTGCCATCCTGTATCATACATATCCCCGGCTCACCTTGTGTATTTCCTGGCCCAGGCTTGGAATTAGTTATTTCTCTAAGGACCCCTGGGCTTTTTGTAGAAGGAACTGATATTTCCAAAATCAGTTTTGCCTATGGAGAATGCTCATTGCTACTGAGTCAGTCATCATTTCTAGAGCATTTCAATAGCCCAACGCTGGGGGCAATGGAGGAGGAACACACACACACTCATGAGTTCATAATGATACTTCCAATTCAAATATGGGAATACAGAATTTTCACTTAGACCCTTCTAGCTCCTTTCTTAGACACTAAGAATCTTGGTTCTGAAAGACATAGAAGGCGATAGAATATCACAAACTGAAATAATTCATTTTACCTCATATTACACATCAAATGGTCTCAGAATCACAGTAATAATAAAACTACCAATATAATTAAAGAAACATTACAAATTTTAAATGACTCCCCATCTGTCTCCCCCCCACTTTTGAGACAGTCTTGCTATGTAGTTCAGGCTGGCCTTGAACTCATTATGTAGTACAGGCCTCAGATAGGTATTTTAAAGCATTTCAAATATTCTTTTTAAAATAAATTTTATTTTATCCATTTCCCCCTCAAATATTCTTTAATATAACTATGTATAGCATAATTCTTTTAGTCTGATCCTATCATGACTAATCAAAATATGGTTTTTTGATTCTTTGGGTTTTTTTTTTTCTGTTTTCTTTTTTGGTGCTGGGGAATTGAGCCCTAGGGCTTTGTGCTTTGTCACTGAGCTACACCCCAGCCTCCTGCTAGCAGTGAGCAAGAGGCTAAAGTCCCAGAGAGCTGTCAGGGTCAATCCCTGAACTCAAGGAACAGAGCGAGGCCCTGACTCAGGGGAAGAGGTCCAGGCAGGGGCCAAGGGGTCAAACATCAGGCAGTTGGTTGCACTTCCGTGTCTGTTCAGTCCCTTCTGACTCACAGATTCTTCAATTATAAACAAAAATGACAACAGAACAACCTTGGTTTTAAAAGAGAAATTTAATATAAACCAAAGCCGACAACCTCTCTGCCAACCCAGAGATCTGTCAATGAAAAATCCAACGATGCACTTAAGCTTTCAACTGTAAAGTCATAAATGCAGTAACCAAAAGCAACACACGTATTCCCATGCCCTTCAGAGTGCGAGCTGGGAGCCTTTGGCGTGCAGACGCCCCGACTTCCCCGGGAGGGACAGTCCCAGTGGTGAGGGCTGGGGACATTCCTCTAATGTGGAGTTACAGAGTAAGCAGGCGCATCTGAGCTTGGGCAGGGCAGTGCCCAGGTTGGAATTCAGGAGCTTTTCTTCACCAGTACAGAACAGCACCTGCCATGTGGCCTCAAGTGTATCCTGAGCCTTTAAACATCAGTTTCTTCATCTCTAGAATGGCACTGATAATAGCACCTAGACCTTTTATTGTTCTGAGACTGAAATGAGAGGACACCCATAAATAACTATAATCAGTGCTTAATACATGCTAATTAATATTACTGTCAACATATACACAAATATACTTTAAAATACCCTGAGGTAACTGAGCAAGGAAACCAAAAGTCAAACTCCAGATGTGGTGTTCAGTGTGTAGATGATTCTGCTTAACGCCCACCATGGGTAAAATCAGCAGACCCATCAATCATACTGAATCGTACAGAGACCCTCCTTATTCATCTCAGAAAGCTGCAAGGAAAACAAAAGGAAATGCGAATCCAAAAGGAAACATAAAAGCTAACAGGATAGACTTCTTAAGATTAAGATATGTAACAACCTAGATAATACAGTCCCACACCACCATCCCTAAAGGGTCCTTAGGGGCTTCAGGGTGTTCATGGCAGAAGGAGCTCACAGTGCCTTGGGGGCTGTGCAAATGAATCAGCTCTTTTTTGACTGCATTGACAGCCTTTGCAATATAACGCCATGTATCATCTTTCTATCTAGAGAAAGAATGGATTTCTCCGCTCCTTGAATCTGCGCCATCTTGGGACCTACTTTGACCAACAGAAGGAGACAGAAGTGACACTGTGCATCAGTGACCTCAACAGGCTTTGCAGATCCACTCATCTCTTACTGATCTCGGGACCCACATGGCCACCACCACCTGTGAACAAGCCGCAATAGACCCCTGGTCAATGAGAGACACCGAGCCCGGTTGTCCTCTCTCTGCCCAGCCAACTTCAGCTCTGCGTTAAGAGCACTGCTGACTGTCCAGCCCCCAGTCAACCTTCCGACCAAGGGCAAATGCAAAGTGTGTCAGCAGACATGACCCAGTGAGCCAGGTGGAAGGCCTGCCCGACCACTCTGCAGAACTGGGAGCCAAAGAAATAAATGGTGGTTTCAAGCCACTCTGTTTTACACAGCAATAGAGAATGGATTCACCATTCAAGAGGAAAATGAACAAAGCAAAGAAGAAAAACAATACAGAATCCATCTGCATTAGTCAGCAAACATTACTGTACTCGTAAGTTCATTTGTGGGAGACAAGATTGTCTTCCACGGCAAGAGAACACAGCAGGCTGCTGAAAGTGGCAAGGGAAGGGCCAGTGATTTAGCTCAGTAGTTCCGCCACCTGCCTCGAGAGCGCAAGGTCCCGAGTTTGATCCCTCGTACCAAAAACAAAGTGGCAAGGGAAACAATGAAGGAATCTCTTCCACCTTATGGATGTGGTTTTCTTCCAGTTGTTTACCACTATCTAATGTGATTCCCACTCTTTTTCCCTTAGGACGTAAGACAGTCTCATGTCAGGGACCTTGTGAACTGTCAAGGGCTACGGGCCAGGTGAAGGGGCGGCTGAGAGAATGGATGCACAGGAACTGGATGGTGTGGGCTGAGGTCACAGACTGGCTGAGCCTTCTAGCTCGAGCTGGAAGAGCTCGCTGAAGCTTGGTCTCTGTGGAACATACCACAGGACCGTGACTTTGAGAGCCAATGAGTTCAGGACTGCAGGGGGACCAGAGGATACAGGGCCAGCTCAGAAACGAACCTGCCATTGCTACCACAAGCAATATATAAGAACAAAGAAAGAAAAGAGCGATGATGACAAAATCCACACTAACTGGGCTGTTTTAATTGTACATCTTTGCATTCACATTCCCTATCCTTTTTTTTTTTTTTTTAATCCCAACAAAGAATTACAGAAATTAAGTGAAAATTCTTTTTGGGTATATTTTCCCCCAAGTATTTACTCTACAGATAGGCCTTAATTACTGAAAATATCCCAAGAAACCAATTGTCTGACCTGTTTTTTAGTTATCATTAGTGACTGATTAACTCTGAGTTCTACTTGTAACACATTTATTACCATATAAAAACTGCCAGGTGCAGGGACGTACACCTGTAATACCAGGACTTAGGTGGCTGAGGAAGAAGGATTGCAAGTTCGAAGCCAGTTTGGGCAGCTTAGTGTGACCACCTCAAAATAAAAACTAAAAAGAGGGCTGGGGATATAGCTCAGTCTAAAGCCCCTTGGTTCAACCCCCAGTACCACAAAAACAATCACACTGACGGAGGGTGGATTGTTAGATATCCCCCCAAAACTTCATGGGTGGGGCTTTTGGAAGTGACTGGATCATGGGTATGTGATGCTGGATTAGACCACTGATTGGTTTAGCATAATTCTGGGTGTGGACGACAGATTTGTTGAAGAGGGAAAATGGACCCTGGGTGTGGGTGGAATCAACCAATAGGCTTGTAGTCTGGATGGAATAAAAAGGGAAAGAAGAAAGTCATGCTGCCTCCTACCTGCAATGCCATGGACTGTTTCTCTTCTGCCATGACCCTCTGCCATGCCAGGTGACCAGAGACTGAACTCCCTACAAACTTTGAGCTTAAAATGAACCCTTCCTCCTTTAACTTGTGGGTGTTGGATATTTTTTTTTTGGTACCAGGGATCAAACTCGGGACCTTGCACTTGCAAAGCAGGTGGCAGAACCACTGAGCTAAATCCCAGGCCAGGTGTTGGATATTTTGTTCCAGCAATAGAAAAGTACCTAAGACATGGGGGAAAAAGGTCCAAAAGAGCAAAGAATCTGCCTCTAAGTATATATGAAGTGCAATAAAAAATATATAGCATGTTTAAATTAAAATAATTATTACAGTTAAAGACAGTGACATTAATTCCCCTGAAAAGTCCTGAGTGTCTTTCATTGCATCATCACTGCTGCCTCTATGTCCTGAATTAACTTACCTTTCACGGTCATTTTGACTTGAGAAAGAGTCAGACTCACATGGTGCCAGAACCAGCAAATAAGTGGATGAGGACACACCGTCATGTTTTTGTGAGCCTCCCTTTCCATTGGGTGGCTCTGGACGGCAGCATTCACTGCATTTTGATCACCCTGAACTAATTCCTCAGAAGTCACTACAGTACCTCCTGTAGTACAATTTACATAGTCTCCGAAGTCTTCTAGAATTTGATTCTGGCCCTTCAGGCATTAAAGAAATCATTTCTAACACTGCAGCACAGGATCAGTGAGGAATAGTATCTGCTTTTACCATATGCTTTTCAACTGTAGACAAAGCCCTTTTCTCAGTATTTGTGACACTTTTAAAAGCCAAATATAAATATAAAACATACCTATGTGTTATGACTTTTGGTTTTGTTTTTTTTATTCTTGGTACCGGGGATAGAACTCGGGTTCTTGAGCTTGCAAGGTAGGTGGCAGAACCACTGAGCTAAATCCCCAGCCCAGTTATGACTTTCTTTGAAATACTGCTTATTAAAACAGAGTTGGAAAGAACTGGACAAGCAGACTAGAGTATCATATGTCTTAGAACCAGGCAGATCTGGGCTAACTTCAGCTCCGCCACTAACTACTGACCCCAAGCAAGTGACTCAATTCACTAAACCTCAGTTTCTTCATGCATAAAAAGGGGGAAATAAAAGAACCTGTCTTGTAGGACACACGTGATGTCTAAACAACAAAATGCACCCAAGGTACTTCTTCAAACATTACTGTATGCACTGTGGCTGCTAAATACATAATTACTCCATTTAATCCCTCTTCTCCAAAACTACCAGCCTTTTACATGCAGAGCACTAACCATTTCCAGAAAGGCTCCAGAAAACCAATTATTCGTCAAATATTTTACAGAAATTACTTTATGTCAGTCTTGGTCAACACTAAGCTTTATAAGAAATGGCTTGCTTATCGCCCCCCATGCAGTGACACTCCAAGCTCAAGGCCGGGCCTGCTGTCACCCTCCCCAAGCAGCCACCCACTCCCTGTGCTCGCAGGACCCTCATGTGGTCCTGGTGCTCACCCTGCCTCGGCTCAGGCTAACGGCCCAGCCCAGCTCCTCCCCGCAGGTGAACCTGGACAGTGTCTAAGCCACCTGTAATGCTTGTCCCTTGGCAGGTGACTGGAAGGGGTATCAGAATGTGACCCACTCTTGGCTAACAGGGATTAGGAGAAGTTGCTGGAGGTCCATCTTGGTTACTTTTCTTGCTGCTGAGACAAAATACCCAACACGGTAAGTTAAAGGAGGAAAGGTTTATTTTGGCTCACGGTTTGTAGAGGTTTCAGTCCATGGTTGGCTGGCTCCAAGCCAGGGCGGCACAGCAGAGGGGCATCGCAGGGGAGAAACAGTCCATGAGAGAGCAGGCAGGCAGCAGCAAGCAACAACAGCAGCCAGCCTGGCTTTCCCTTTGTAGTGCGTACAGGCTATAAGCCCATCACTGATTGGTGCCGTGTATACCCAGGGCGGGGCTTCCATTATCCATACCCTTAATCCCAGTATCACACATATTCACACTCTAACTCAGCAACTTGGGAACTCCTCACCTATGAGCACAGGAGGCTTTGGGAGGACATCTAGATACAAGCCATAGCAGGGGCTTCTGGTAAAGGTTTCCCCCGAAATAAAAACTTCATATCAAGACAGGCAGGGTGGCACAGCCTGTAATCCCGGCACTCTAGGAGGCTGAGGCGGGAGGATCATAAATTGAGCCTTGCTTGGGCAACTTAGTGACTTAGTGAGACCCTGTCTCAAAATTTAAAATGGGCAACTCAGTGCAAAGGCCCAAGGTTCAATCCCTATTATTAGTAACAAAACAAACTTCAAGAGAAGGTCAACATTGGACCTAATCACTTAATTTGATTTCAATTCTTGTCCAATTCAATTTTCAACTAGAATCACAGAAAGCACTAACTTCATGAACCGAGACATCCCCGTACTAATGCTATGATTCTCAGATGACGGCTGTAGGTGCAAATAAGAAGGTTGTTTTTGTTTGGTTGTTTTGTTTTGTTTTTGTACCAGGATTGAACTCAGGATCTTGTGCTTGTGAGGCAGGCCCAGGCAATGCTGAGCTAAATCCCTGGCCCGCAAATACGAAGTTCTGCTGCTTGGAAGCAAGGCTTGATGGGCCCCTCCAAGCAATAGTTCCTACCAGCCCTCTTGTCACACATCTGACTGCCATCTATGAGGATGGCAACGCCTAAACCTGTCCATATGCAGCCCTCTACCATGGGCCGACATTTAGGGCTGGGAGGCTGAGAAGGTGTTTAGAGATCACCTTGCTCCACCCATCACTCCGAAGAGGACAGGACAGACGTCCAGGTTAAAAGCCTCCTCAGGCTAACTCCACTAGCTGTTTCCAGAATTAATCTTAGCTTGTATAACGTTACTAATCCTTAAAGCACTACCTTGGAGTTTTAGCTAAATATGAAAATTTCCTCAAGGTTGTTTGCCAGAATATTTAATTTTTTTTTCTCTCCACATCATGGAAAAGCCTAAAAGTTATCTGAACATCCTAGGAGACTCTGCAGCACCTGGGGGCTCAGGGTCCCTGTGTTCCCCATGTTTGGCCCACGCTGTATACACAATGGATTCAGCAAGAGGAGCAGAGCAGGTCAAGTTCTTCCCGAGCTGTGGAAAATCTTTTCCTTCTCTGTGAAAAACTGAAGTGCGTGTACCTGGAGGACTCGGGTGAGAACACCTTCCCTGAAACACCAGCTCTCTGACAAGGACGCCCTCAGAGCCCCTGACTGAAGGTGGCGCTGTGATGGGTACAGGATCCCTCCCCGGAGCTCCCCGGGGCTCCCCGGAGCTCAGGGCTGGGTGCAGTGTCCGAAGCCAAGTTTCTAGCTTCAGAGCACGCCCAGCGATGTAAGTGAACATAAGCACCAAACAGAAGGCAAAAGTTACGTGGCAGGTGTGCTGGAACTCATTCGGTCCACTCAAAGACATGTAGCAACTGGCAAAGAATTCACAAGATCCAGAAACAGGTAAAGCAGAAAAGAGTTGGTTTTTCTTCTTTGCTTTCTTTTTCTGACATAGGGGCTCACCATGTTGCTTCAGAAAGTGGCTTTAACAATAATTATAAGCCTATGAATGACTTGGAAAATAACTGGGACAAAGAGTGTTTCTATGCAATCTGACCATCTCTGTTTTATTCACTTGTTTATTTTTTGGTGCTAGGGATTGGACTCAAGGCTTCGCACTCTACCACTGAGCTACGCTCCCCAACCTCTCTTTTAACTGGAGTGCTCTATCTACAGACAATGCAATCACTGGCAGAGCTGAGTTTAATTCTACTACTTCGCTACAGGAATACACTCTCTCTCCTCTTTCCTTCCTTCCCTATCTCTCTCCCCTCCTTGTACTTAGCATTGAACCCAGGGCCTTTGCACGGAGCTACATCCCCAGCTCCCTTTAAAAAAAAGAAAGAAAGAAATTGAGACAGAATCTTGCAAAGTCACTAAGTTGCGCACACCCGTGAGAATGCCGGGCTCTGTTTCCATTTGCCTCCCCGCAGTGCAGGGGAGACGCCGCAGACGGTGAGCTGGGGCAACCACAGGATTCGTGCTCTTTGCTTCCTTTCCCTCAAGGATCACAGTGCTGTAGAACTCATTTCCCAGCATCTTGAAAACAAACCTTCTCTCCTTCCTCTTTTTCCTAGTTTGTTTTCAGCAGGAATAGCAATGCTGGGAGAACTTCAAGGGCAGAATTAACTTTTCTAAAGCTTCCTTAGATACTACTAAACTCTCCTGGCTTCATTTCAACCCTGTTCCCAATCACAATTCAAAGGAGCAAACTGGCGGAGGAGGTGTGTTAAGGGGAGAGACAGAGATAAAGACAGAGACAGAGAACACAAACAAGGCAGTAGCCTGAAGCTGTAGCAAAGAAGTTGCGATCTAAGAGCCTGGGATTGAGCCCCAATTCTGTCACTCACTTGTGTAGCTTTCCTTATCTACCATTAATAAAGCCCGAGTTTCCTCACTGATATGTTTCCTCACCATATGCAACAACTACGAATAAGACTGTAGGACTGATTTGCAAACTTTCACAAACACTGCCTTCCCCTAAATCCATTTCGACCACAGCTCCTCCTCAGGGCCAAGCATAACTGGTAGAATTCCTGAGAAAGCTTTCAACCCCAGAAGATCCCCACTGACTGTCAGTTAGGAAGCTTGTCTGCCGTGCCTCGGCTATAGTTAGAGCAGCATAGCCAAAGCATAGCACAACCACAATGCCAGATACCAAATAAGTTACTTTTCTTCTGTACTTTCTACAGTAAGCAGAAACCAAAATCATTCCCTGTTCATCAAGCCTAACAATAATTCAGATAAATACTTTCAATTCTAAAGGATCATTAAGATATATTTGTTTTTACTAATACGAAGAAAAGTTTCTCCTGCCAATTTCTTATCTTACAGAGTACTTCAGTAGAGAATACAGTCCATTAGCTTTTACTTCTGCGGGCAATTAAAGAAGAATTTTTTACAGCTGACAGAGTCATTTCCTAATTCTACTCAGGCCAAAGGAACCGCATTTGCTGGAAAACTGTACTGAGGTCAGATTCTTCTCCACACATCTTTTGTGGTCTTCTTAGACCACCCCTTTAACTGCCCTTCTGTCCCTCTCTCTGTCTGTCTGTCTGTCTCTCTTTCATAGCCCAGCATTCTTTCTTACACCCAGACATTGACAAGGCACCAAACTGCAGAGCCAGGGCGGAGGACAGAACTGCCGTCAGCTGTTACCTGGTGCGATCCGGAAGGCAGACTCTTTACTAGACCCTCTGTGTCGGAGGGGGACTTCTGTGGAGCCTGCTTAACCGGTGACAAACTCTCTGATGTACTGCAGCTGATGGAGTGGCAATTTGGAGAACAAATGTAAAAAAAAAAAAAAAGAAAAGAAAAATTTAAAAATTAAAATAAATGGAAACAAAAATACAGAAATGCAAGTGATGGTAAGATGAAACAGCAGATGTATAAAAACAGAAGACAACAAAACCACGATATCACAACGATCATGTATCTAAAACTCTTTTCTATCCCTGACACTCATTCGTTCATCTAAGCCTTCTTAATGGCAATGTCTTTATGATCATCGAAGGTAAATCTCTTCTGAATGTATTTTAAAAATTAGAGACATACAGGCAGGCATATGGTCTGGCCTGTATTGTTTTCCCCATTTTCTAGCTCCCTGCATTTTGTTTCCCACAATAGCCCAACCAAACATTCCCAAAACAAAAAACGAAACAGAACTCCAAAACTAACCACCCAGGAAGTCATACACAATGAAACTATGGAAATGAACTGCTTCAGGGCCCGAGGGAATCTCGGGCAGAAAGTGCTCTCACTGATACGTCATTGGCATCCTAAGTGCCAGGGAGTAATTCATTTAAAACTTCCTACTGAGATGTGTCATCACTGTAGCTTAAAGCCTTTAATGGCTTAAGTTTGGCAAGGGTCACACTGAAAGTGTCATTACTAAGACCAAAGCATACTAGGCATTCTGCAACTGCCTTCTGAGGTGGGAGGCCACAGGCCCTGGGCCAAAAAGGCTTCATTATTCTAACACTAGGAAGGTCGTAATCATTGATAATGAAGTTCATGTGTGAAAAAGGAAACATACGCATGCACACATACACAACGGCATTTTACATGAAGAACATGTATATTCAGATGAACCCAGTTTCACCTGGATATTCTATTCAACATGTTTCCAGGATGATGACGGGACACACCTGTGTACACACCATACTACCTACTGGGTTAGATCAGGGCTCGCTGGTTAGTTGTCAACAAGGGGAACGGCTGATACATACACATGAATATTAACAGCAACGGGCGATGTATTAGTTACCATGTGTCTACTGGGAGTGGAAGAGGAGACCCAGCCCTGTTACAGTCCCAATGTCTTCTACGTCAGCTTTTCTTAAGAAGTGGAAGGTAAGCAGGACTTGATCCCAGCAGAGCAAGGCAGAAAAGCACAGGAGGGGGGAAAAAACCAAAATAAGATGAGCAGCACTCATGATGCCATGCAGGACTCCAAGGAACATTTCCCTGCCCCTCCACTAACCCGGAAGCAAGCACTGCAGACTGGCATGTCACTGCTCTGAATTAGTGCCACATGGAAAACCAACATCTAGCTATATTTAATCCCAGGACTCTCACCATGCAGGAAGCAATGCAATCAGCAGAACAGAAGCATTCCGAGCAAGTACTATCTGAACTTGAACACTCAGACTGGTTTAACCACAGCACACCTCAGAACCCTCCTCCAGCAGGGCCCAAAGTTAGAGGTTCCCACCGTCCACAGCAGGAGACTGGGCCATGCCGTCCTCTCCACTCACAGCGCCTCCGGGACGGTCGGGGGCGGGGGGACTGCGCACCCGTCACACACCCCGTGTCACAGCCTCCAACCCTAGGCTTACCCGGGCGCTCTACAGCGCTTGTGTGGGTTAGCTTTCTGGCTGGAGTGGGGAGAAGAAGATTAATCTTTAATCAGACACACACCCTGGGCTCAAAGGTGTCCCTTCTGAGAAGCCATAAGCAAAAAGAAAGTCGACTTGTCTTTATTGCTGGTACATGGTGTTAAGTCTTACTATTCAGATTTGGGTGAATCTAGCCAACAATGATCAAAGTAATATAACTGCTTAGGTTTGGGGCAGGGGAACTTCAAAAAGGAAAAGCCCTGCACCATCTCAGTGGGCTATGTGGGAGTTTATTAGCACAGCTTCTTCGGTAGGGTTTTATGTTTACCCAACTGCAATAAAGAACTTTATTAGATTATTTCCAAGAGATTTAAAAACTTTTAAAATGGAAGTGATGTTTGTGGCTTAGGAATACTAACTGTGGGGTGGATGGTGCTGAAACAGAGAGCCCAGACTGCTGAGCAGTTTGTTTCCCCAAACCTAAGAAGCAACCCACAGACAAGGGACTCGAAGCACATTCCACCTTGAATAGCAGGCCGCTGACTTCTGCTGGTCTCTGGGGGAGACTGCCGACTCTGACGTGAAAGCCAATGGTATATCATCATTCTTCACAATCCTTTTTTCATAAAGCTGATTTCTTCCCCCTGCCCTTCCCCGACAGAAGCGTGTTGCTTACCCAGTATAATCCCGTTTAGCGTTCTTCCGTCGATAGAGCACAGCCAGGATCATGCTAATGAACAGAGTGACACCTAGGACCACAGCAGACACTATACCCACCACCACGGAAACCGGGACCACGGGCAGATTCTCTAGATAGAAAGAACAAAGCAGAAGTAAGGCACCCTGCTGCAGAGGGAAGAAATGGAATCTTACTCTGTTAGCAAGCAAGCCTTCCATCAGCAGTTACTTCATTTATCCTCTCTCACTACCTAAGCTATATATTCTAGTATCTAATTGATAACGCATGAATATTAACTGGAAAAGAATGAAACACAGAACCGAGTATTTCTATACCCACAGTTTCTCTCAGCGTTTTAAAATCAAAGTGAAACTGGAGGTGTGAATTCCTATCAGTCTGCTCTTCAACAGAGAGAGGAGACTTTGTATCAAAAGGAGACATCAGAACCTGCAGTTCCTGCTTATTCTTAACAAAAAGGGAAAAAATAACAGTATTGCGAGATATCAAAGTTTTTTTTCTCAGAGATTATCAACATACTATCAATCCCCTTCTTTCTGCTGCCCACTGCATTTAACCACAATGAATTCATTCTTAATTGTAATTAACTGTGGAAAATGAATCCTCTGAACGTCAGGTCTCAGAACCCTCTGCTGACTCAGTAGCAGCTCCCCACGCCCAGGTATGTCTGAGGGACCCACAGGTCCACAGAAACAGGGAGCACAACTTCATGGCATGGACCCTCCCTCCAAACACACCTGGGAATGTCACTCTCGTTCCCCAACTGAACCGAAGCTGAGGGGACTGCGGCTTACTGCCGAATGACTGCAGAAGTACCTTTTTCCAACACATAGAGCCTAATGTGTCCAGGCTGGACAACAATGTCAGGAGGGTTTTTGACATCACAGATGTAGGTGCCGTTGTGTATAGACTGCATATTTTCTATGTTGATTGATGCATCTTTCTTGTCAAGGTCCCCAGCCCAGCTGATTCTGTCCTTAAATGGTGGATAATTCCCAAGGTACACTTGCCCTTGGGAGTAGTGGAAAAACTGCAATCAGAAAACGAGAACATTAGAGTTATTACCAGAGGAAGAATTCCTACAGTCTGCAACAGGTCTGCTGAGAAAGTTTCTTTAAAAAACAAAACAAAACTGGGCACAGAAAGAATTGCAAATCACACAACACATCTCAGGATGTGGGATCCAGGCCAGACAGAGGTTTGGGGATCCCGAGGTTCAAACCCCAGGTTTCAGTCAAAGAAACAGACATGTATATCATCTCTAAGCCTCTCAACATCCCATTGGTATAATTATGATCATCTATATTTCTATAAGAAAGGAGAGAGATGAAAAAGCCACTGTCCCAAGGTCATAGGACATGGTGGACCCAGAGTCAAAACTAGGCCCACTTGAATCTTCCAAGTGATGACACCAGGATGAAGCCTGGGGAGCCCAGAGTCTTACGCCTGGCCACCGAGATGTACAGAGGCAGAAACAAGGCCTAAAGATCACAGATCTAGTACATGTGAGCTTCTCCCTCTTACCGATTCCCAGGAAGCACGAAATACTTTCTCTTGCCTCTGAAGGCTCAGCTTTAACCATTCTCTTCACTCTCTCCTCAGACCTGCTTTTAACAAAGAAGGTCATTTCTCAAAGTGAACCTTCAAAGCCAGCACCTGGGAAGTTAGGTAAGGCCTGACAGCACACGCAGCTGTCAGCTTCTGCGGGAGGCTTGACGCTTCTGTTCTCAGTCCCACGTAGGTGATGGCAGGGTAGAAATCAGTTTCACTGGCAATTTAAATAGGATATTTTCAGGGCGCTTCGAGGGTGCTGAAAACCCCGGTGTAGTCCATCCTTAATGGCTACAGGAGACCAGCTCGAAACTGCATTGGGCAGGCTATAAAATATTATTCATGAATTGGCTTATTTATAAATTTGTTATTTATCGAATTGTGAGTCAATCCAAGGCCTACATGTCAATCTCCAAATGAGCCTTCAACTGGCATACAGAAGTCCCTATGCCAGTGGTCACAAGTGAGATCTCAATGATCGATGAAATTGTGACGTCTCTATGACAAGAAAACACTACCACTGAGGATTTACAACTCTTGTGCAGGCATTCTCCCAGATCAAACGTTAGATAACGATAAGGCAGGTGGCTTGTTAACCATGACCTGCAAGATAACACAGGTGGCTTGTTAATGGTGACCTGTCCTTGCAAAGAATGCACATTAGTTTTTACACCCCTACTATGTTGTGTGAACAATAAATACCAACTAGTCCAGAGGTCGTGGTCTTAGCCAGGAAAAGCTAAGATCAAATCCTAGCACCCTGATAAACTATCATTCATTCTTTATTCTTCGTTCTTTGTCTATTATATTTCATCCTCCGCTGTACCCCCGATAAATGCCCACTGGTATTTTGTGAAGTCCTCAACCTTCTCCTCCATGGTCAGTGTCCCCTGAGATCTAGACTTCTCACCCGACTGCCTATTCACGGTCCTGAGTTCAATCCCCAGTACCGAAAACAAAAACAAAAACAAACTTGTGCTGAAACTTAATCCCGGCGGTGACGATGTGAGGTGGTGGGAAGTGTGAGAGGCACTGAGGCTTCGAGTGTTGAACAGAGGGAGTTGATCTCAGATCCTTGATCTCAGACCCTTGATCTCAGACTCTCTAGCCTTGTCTCTAAGAAATAGTTTCTGTTCTCAGTAAATTACCCAGCCTGTGGCATCTTGTTCGAGCAGTGCAGAATGGGCTCAGATAGCTATTTGTCTCCTAAACCATAAATCTTCGAGTACTCCTTCATCTTTCTTCCTATGAAATTCACAGCTTAATAGTGTCGGTCTACCTTACAAATACTCCACTTTCTGTCATCTCCGCTTAATTCCCACTAACAACACCCAAGGTGACTCTGTCAGCATCTTGGATGATGGTGTGCTCTCCCGAATCTGACTACAGCCTCAGAATGAAGGCGAATCCTCCCCCTAGAATACCTCAGTGATCGGTGGATAAGCACTCACAAAGTAATGATTATGACCATTTAGCGGATCTACACCCTGTATTTAATACAACCACCAGGGCCTGAGATTTTACCCTACTTGCAAACTAACCAAGATCCTTTGAAGTCTTCACTCTCTTGTAGAAGAACCAGAGACAAAGGACCTCAGTCCTTAGCACACAGCAGGGAGCACTCTGCTATAGGTTCCCTTTGCCTCCCAAGTCCCCAGGGAGGCCCAGAGGGGCTCAGGTAGGCTCCACACCGAACCACTGCCGAGACTCTAAGCTCAGGGGACCTAAATATTTGTTTGTTTATAAATTTCTCCAGCTGGACTCAAATAATTCTCCTGCTTCAACCTCCTGAGCATCTGGGGCTATAGGTGCACCCCACTGCAGCTGGCCTAGAACCCGAATCCTTTATGATGGCCAGAAGGCTTGTCTCCCTTTCCTCTGAGGACACATGGTATCTTCACTATGTGGATGGTGAGCAACACGATTTCAGTCCTCCAAAGCAGGTCACTTCTTTCGCTGCCATCCTGCAATGCCTGGTGTCCACAAAGGAGGAAAACGAGGCCTCAGTGACCTGCCCAAGGTCCTGGCCTCAGAGATGGAATCAGCACTTGGTGGGAATCGCACTTGTTGAACTGAATTGACAAATGCCTTGGTCAAACCAGTAAGAGATAGGAACCAAATGGTAAAAATTCACAAGAAAGACAGTATTTTCTTACCAACCAGTATTTGTTAAGTTCGTGTCACTAAATTAAAGCCATGAGGGATACCAAAGGTATAAGGACAGGTCCACCTTCTTTCAAAAACACTTCTATTCAGGATAAAGAAGAGGAGGAAAATGCCATATTAAGGGATCTGTATTGTAGGAGTGTTCAGATTATATAGGTAGTAAGTTATAAGGGCTGAAATGTTTTTTTGTTTGTTTTTTGGTACCAGAGATCGAACTCGGGTCCTTGCGCTTGTGCAGCAGGTGGCGAAACCACTGAGCTAAATCCCCGGCCCTGAAATGTTTTTTTAAAAAGAGGTATTATAGAGAATTCAGGAGGCAAAGACTGGGTAAAAACTAAACAGCAAGAGTTCAGAAGTAGGAATACAAAGCATAAGGCATTTTTTATTAGACTAGAAGTGATCTCATAAGAGAATAGAAATAAGGCCAACGTGACATGCTGAGCCCGCAACAAGCTTTGATGTCTAAACAAGCACCACTAACAAGGGAAACTAGGATGCAAGGCAGAACTATTTTAAGACTATACGTGTCCACCGGATGGCGTACAGGGCTGGACCGAAAAAATGAAAGAACAGAAGTAGAAGGACAAGTGTTACTGCACCAGATCCGGGCTCAAAATTAACACTGCTTCCTAAAGAGCGGGGAGCAGGAAGGCTGACAAAGCCTGGGTGCCAGACACCCAGAAGGAAGAACCAGCAAATGAGCTAATTTCTCGGGTGCAGAAGGGAAGTGGTAGGAGCTAGAGGGGAAGACTCTACAGAACTGGTTCCTAAGTAGTATCACTGCTCTTAAAGAATGAGAAGGGAGGAAGAAAGGAGAAAAAAAGTGAGTTCAGTGGTAGACAACACCCGGCCCGGATTCCATGGACTGGAAGGGCCATCTATAGTATTCTGGGTTTGAATTCAATATTTTTCTTGTAAAATCAACAAAAACAGAAAGCCACCTGCTCATCTGATGGACTGTATCCTGATGTTTTAGAAATAAAAGATTCTATATCCGTAACTCCCTTCTGGAGTTAAATGTAATCAGACTAATGTGGGGGTGTAAAGTGATCAGCTAAAAACACAAGTCAGAAATGTAGCACGTTCTTAGCAGTCAGCTGGAGTTACACGAACCCTCCTCCTCAGCCCACACCACGAACCAAGTGTATCTGGAGCATGCGCTTCCCCAGGACATCTGCGAAGAGCCTGCTCTTGCTCTTCGGGCTGCAGGACCCCTTCCACACACCCCCAGAACACGGCTAAGCACTCGGTCTCACCCCAAATCCCACCCACCTGGACCCAGCAAGGAGGTTAAACACATCTGAAATCCCTGACTTTATCCTGCCATTCCGTCCTTCCCAGTCAGGACACTCACAGGTCCTGCCTTTCTATGAACTCCCGGGGACACAGGTCCACTCAGAAACATAGACATCATTACACGCTCCACCCCAGTCCAATGGTGCTGTCCCCTGGAGACTGATTTCAACATAAAGTACAAGGCTTGGATAATAGCACATATGAAAATGAAGCCATTTAGGCCAAGCAGAAAGATGTTTTTATCCCAGTTGCCAGGCATCTTGTACATACTCTAAGTGCCCTCAGAGGAGACCCCAAGTTCCTTCAGGAATGGCAGAGGGTAAATTATCATCATTTTTTTTCTTCAGACAGGGTCTCGATATGTAGGTTCAGGCTGGTCTTGAACTCACTATGTGGCTTTGAAGAGATCCTCCTGCCTCAGCCTCCCAAGTGCTGGGATTACAGGTGCACACCCCATGCTCGGCCAGAGGGCAGATTCTTCACATAAAAGCTGCTGAGTGGGAAGGTTTGAGAAAAATCTTACTCTTCATATATAAAGCACAGATAAACACTCTATCAGTAGTCCTAACATTTCATGGGACAGTGGAGAGATTAGGAAAAAAAAATCCAAAAGGTTTCCTTCTGAAATAAGGTTAAAAATGTGGAGAAGCACTGCTTTGAGCAATCCTCAAAGCCTAGAAGCAGTAAATACTCTCATCAGGGCCAGGCATGGTGGTGCACACCTGTAATCCCAGCACGTGAGAGGCTGAGACAGGAGAATCGCTACAAATTTGAGGCCAGCTTGGACTTCATCATGAGTTCAAGGCCAGCCTGAACTACTACATAGTGAGGCTCTGTTTCAAACCACCCCCCCAAAAAAGGGCTGGGGATGTAATTAAGTGAGAAGGCACTGGATTCAATCCCTGTTAGTAGGGGGGGAAAAGTCTCGTCAGACCTTTTTAAGCTAGTGCAGTCGATCTACACCTGGATTAATGGTCACATTAATATAGCACTGGAGACAGAGTAACTTCTAAAGAACAGAAGCTTACTTGGCTCATGGTTTGAAGGGCTCGGGAAGCTGGAGAGCTGACGCCAGCCTGCCTGGCATCTGCTGAGGGCCTTCGAGCCACCACACAGTGATGGGCTTGGCCTGGAGAGCTCCCCTCTCCCTCTGTGAAGCCGTCAGTGCCCCACGGGGCCACCCTGACAACCTCATCAGCTCTCACCCTCACCTCCCAGTGGCAGAGTCTCTGAAGACTATCAACATTTCAATTTGGGATTAAATTGTGGCACAGACTTCTGGGGAACGCACTCACACCACAGTACTCGTGAGCGTCCCGAGCTGGGTGCTCTCGCTCGACCACGGCAACAAGCCAGGCCCAGGAGACTGAAGCAGGAGGATCACAAGTGTGAACCAGCCTGGGCTACTTAGCAAGAACCTGTCTGAAAATAAAAAATGAAGACGTGCTGGAGATGTAGCTCAGTCAGAAGGCCCTGGGTTTGATACCTAGTCCCGCAAAAGAATAAAAAATAAATTAATAAATACATGCCGGGGATGTAGCTCGGTGCTCCCAGGGCTCAAGCTTTACAATACTACCAAACAAGAGATGGATGACAGTCTGTCCCTTTGAGCATGGGAAACTTAAAATGTGCAACACTGCTAAAGCTCCACACCACCCCGAGCACGGACCTTGCTCCTCGGGTCACTTGCCTCCTGCTCCTCTCCACACCCCACGAGGGGCCTCACTTCCTCACCTCACGGACGAGCAGCACCCGTGCATGTTTAACAAGCCCCAGCGGCATCGCAGCCCCAGCCAGCCGCAGCCTGCCCTTCTCAACCCTTCTGCCGTCTGTCTGTCATGCCCTTCATCTTGCTCCGGAGCTATCTGTGCCCTGGCTTCCTCCTCGCTCCCTGGCTGGGCTGGATTAACTAATGGTCGACTCGGGGCCCCCAGCTGGACTGAGTCAGCATGGCTCTGGCCGTGCAGGACCCACCTGAGGACTACTGGCAAAATGACATAAAAGGAGAGCGGGAGGGGAAGATTGCATTCTGCTCATTTTCCCGGAGAAGCCTGTCGCAGCTGGATTTCCTGATACGAGCTCGGCTGTTCTCGTCGGAGGGAGAGCTCGGGTCCTCGCTGTCACCGGGGTGGCTGCTGCTTTATTCCCGGGAAGCTCTGGTCTTCACCTTTGTTTTGAGCGTCGCTATCTGGCTCCAGTGCAGATCCCTCAGCCCGGTGGCCCCGACCCTTCACCCCGCCAGTGCTGAGGTCTGGCGCCTTTGATCTTGATACGGACTTGCATGAGACACTGCCGTGGGCTCCAGGCCTCTGGCTGGATTCTTCAGGTCTCTAGTGCAGACAGGTCTCTTGCAGTCCTCTGCATTTGACTTTTTGGGTGAGTATTACAAAATAATCCAATCAGTTACATGTCCTGCATTAAATCTATTCCCTTGCGAACCCTGACTACTACACTGGGTGACAGTAAAGACTGGGTTGTGGCCCTTTTTTGAAGACCTTCCATACCTAGTGCATGGTAAAAGCTTAGTAAACACTGCTAAAACAAGAAACCCATACTTAAACCAGACGAGAGCACACATGTAACAAAACCAGAAACACATAAAAGAAACAGAAATAGAAAGGGGGCAAATGAATGGTGAAAAGATACAGGATTAATCACGACTAGAACAAGCACAGTCACTGAAGGGCTATCTACCGTGTGGAAAAGATCCATTTCAAAATGGTATCTGACAGTCGGGAGGCTGAGGCAGGAGGATTGCTGTGAGTTTGAGGCCAGCCTGGGAATACAGTGAACTCAAGACCAGCCTAAACTACACAGCAAGACCTTGGCACACAAAAACAGAAACAAAAGGGGTGGGGGTTGATGAACAGAAACTGGGCGACAGTGAGAAAAAGGAAAGCAAAGTCAAGAAATGCAGCTGCATGTTAGAGATGTTGGACTTTATTTCCTTCCTCCTGGAGTGAGTGCGGCAGGAGGAGAGCCCCGAAGTCCAGGACAGGTGACAGAGGTGCTGCTTTGGTAGGGGAAGATGGAGACAGGAGCACTGGCCACAGCAGCGGGAAGGAGGCCTTCGAAGCAGGACTGCCGGGTGGCCAAGCATCCCTACCGACACGGTGGTGACCGATCCCTCAGGCTGGAAGCTCCAGGAGACGGAAGTCAGCTTGCCCGTCGTGTTGCTGGACCTGAATGTGCACGTTAGCTTCCCCTGAGTCCCGTTGGTCACGAAGATCTCTTTCGGTGTGTACACCTCCAAGGCTGACACCCCCGCTGTCACTGGGGAGGGAAGGACAAGGACGGTCAGAAAGCAGGAATCAGCATGAACGCCGTGTTCATCGTATTCATCAAGGGAGACGGCACAGACAGTTACTGGCTGCACATAGCAATCTGCTGCTACTCCACTGTACATTCCACAGCAAAGGAGCCACACACACAGTAACTGCTGACAGTCGGTTTTTAGTAAAAACATACGTTACTGCTGGGCCTGGGGGCGCACACCTGTAATCCCAGCACTCTGGAAGGCTGAGGCAGAAGAATCCCAACTCTGAACCTAGCTGGGGCAATTTAGTGACTTAGCAAGACTCTGTCTCAAAATTTTAAAATAGGCTGGGCATTGTGGCTCAATGTGAAGGCCCTGGGTTCAATCCCCAGAACTGGGGGGGAAATAAAGACATTTTTCCTACTTTAGCTATACCTAATATTTGTGTTTCTTAAATTAATAGTCATTTTAAAAAGCAGTTTCAGGTTGACAGAAATATTAAGTGGAAAGTAAGGTGTCCCACAAATTTCTTCAGAACCCTTCTCCCAGTTTTGGCTTTTCACATCTGGTGTTAGTGTGGTACATTTGTCTCAACTGAGGAACAAATATTATTCCATTAACCAGAGTCCAGAGTTTACATCAGGGCGCATGCTTCGTGTTTTCATACTATGGCTTTGACAAATGGATATAACAGCACGTTACCACATCACACAGAATAACTGCTGCCCCAGACACCCCACGCACGGCTGCCTGCCTGCCCCCCAAGCCTCTGGCTCCCCTGCCTTTTACTGTGTATTTGTCTTCTTCAGAATGCCACACATTGGAATCACACATTAGTAATCTTTTCAGGTTGGCTTCTCTCACGTTGTGATAGTCATTGAAGCTTCTGTGGCTTTCTGTGGTGAGAAATCTTATTTCCTCTGTCCATTTATTGTGCTGGGGATGGAACCCAGGGTCTTTGCACTGAGCTACACCCTGAGCCCTTTTTTATTGTGAGACAGTTTTTCACTAAGTTGCTAAATTGCTCAGGCTGGGCTCAGGCTTGAGGTTGTCCTTCCTCAGCCTCCCAGGAGTGCTGGGATGACAGGCACACACCTGGGGTCCATTTCTTTGCATTGATGAATAATATCTAATTATGTGGGTGCACCACAGTTCATTCACTCACCTACTGAAAGACTTTCTGGCTCTGGCTGCTTCCCTGATTGATGGTCTACTGATATGTGAGGCTGTATTTTCATTTCTTTACACAGTTCTCATACTGACTTGATACTCTGCAGATCCCACTGTTAAACTTTTCTCACCTGTTATATTTAAAGTAATTAAACTATTCAAATATATTCTTTCATTTTAAGGCCATGTTCATGATCTCTTCCTTTTGCTATAAAGGACTCACAGGAAAATGTACAGGACATTTGGTTTGAGGAGTGAGATGCTTCCTCCAAGGCTGCCCCGTGCTACACAGGACACGAAGGATCGTACTCAAGGATGGCGGGACCACAGCGGACAGGTCTGCATTTCATCCATTGAGTTTTCTCCAGGAGCCGAAGCCCAGGAAAGAGTAATTAAAACATCTACCTCTTGCAATATAAAAATAGCTTTTTAATTTTGGGGGGAAGATCTGCAATTAGAACCAACTGCAGAAATTCTTGTGGACTGCAGCTAAACTAAGACAGTCTTCACTCAAAAGAGTCACTTTTACAGACTCAATAAAGATCCGAAAGAAACTTATTTGGCCTAAAATTGTTAACTTGAAAACACCCATCTTCAAAATAAGATACATCTGGCGAAGTCATCTGGATACATACTGCCGTGTTCCGATTATTCTTAGAATGTAACCAAGGGGCAGAAGAAGGCAGGGCATTGTCACCAGGACTGAGGTCACTTTCAGAACTGCCTTCTGCAGGCCCTGACTGGACTCTGGGCCAGGGAGCCCCAGCAAACTCCCCCTCTCCTCCCCACCGTCCTCCAAATGTTTATTCTCTGGACACAACGGGCACTTTGGGCTATTCTTCTAAATCAACTGATAGCCACACTGCATTGAGCAGAATTTTTTCTGCTGAAAGAGGGTGGATTATTATTCTAGGGAACAATGGATTATTATTTGTGATCCAAACCTCAAAACAAGCCCTGCTTTCAGACCAGAAGCAAACAAAAGCTGTTCCTTGCCATTGTGGAAAGGCAGAGAAGCAGCCCTCAGGCACTAGAGTTTAGAAGGAAGGACAAACCACAAGGACAGACCAGTTAACCAGCTTATTCCAGGAAGCCTGCTGGTTTTCGACCCTGAGTCAGTGTGAGCTCTTGCCTGATTTTCTCCACAGCAATGAGCACCAGGAGGAAAGGCAGTCTCTAAAGACCACAAATAAGTTTCTCAAGAGTTTTCCTAAACTAGATCCCTGTCTCAAGGCCTGGCTGCAAAGAGGTGTTGCCTTGAGTTGTTACGCAAAGACAGAGCTAAATCAGGTGTGGTGGTGCCCGCCTGTAATCCCAGCACTCTGAGAGACTGAGGCAGGAAGATCTCAAATTTGAGCCCAGTAGGGGCCACTTGCTAAGACTCTGCCTCCAACTAAAAGTTTTTAAAGGGCTGGGAATGTAACTCAGTGTGGAGGGCCTGGGTCCAATTCCCAGTATTTCAAAGGGGAAAATTTTTTTAAAAGAACTATACCAGGGCTGGGGATTTAGCTCAGTGGTTCTGCCACCTGCCTTGCAAGTGCAAGGACCCGAGCTCGATCCCCGGTACCAAAAAAAAAAAAAAAGGAACTGTGCCAAGTGTCCAAGTTTACAGTGAAGAATTCTGACCAAATCCCTAAATGGGTTTTAGGCAATCTATTTAGGATGGATTTGATTTAGTTACCAAAGCTAGTTAATAAATAAATGCCTTCTATTTTTAAATATTCCATCACTCATAAGCCTACTTGAATGTGTAGCTCTTAGATTATGAATTCTAATTCAGGATTATGAACTCTAACACAAGACAATCGGTTCCAGAAAAAGAAAGTGAGTGACTCTATTCACAGCAAATTAACTTCCTCTTGTCCTTCTCCCCAGTGCCACTCCGGTTGTAAGTCCTGGGGATTCCTTTAGTCTCCGGTTTCTTGTTTATCTTCTCTTCTCCGGTACCCTGCCACTCACTGCCACGCCGCACTGCGTACATATCATGGACGGGCCCAATAACCCCACCTTCTGGGGACTGTGGGACCCGGGTGCTGCAGGGTATCTAGTGGCATCCCGGCCCTCCCGTGACAGTGGCAGCTCTGCCTCCAGGTGTGCCCACAGGGTTGTCTGCAGATGCTGCCAGCCGTCTGGCTGAGAGCCACTGCCCCAGACGCTGAGTCAGCACCCGTGGCTGCACCACAACTGGGCTGGGCGGCTCCCAGCTTCCCAGCACCCTCCAGTCCCTGATTTCACTCCTCGAACAGCACATCAGAGATGAATGCCACCATCTGCGGTCCTCTGACAGCTCATGCCACTGTGTCCCTTGCCCTACTGAGGGACCCCATGGCCCCTCCACACTCACCCCTTTGTGGCCACCAGCCCCCCTGCCTCTCCCTTTGTGCACTCACCTGGCCAAATCTTAGAGGCCCACAACTCTACTGGCTGGCTCACCTTACATTCACGGCTACGGACCTCATGGAAGCATGTGATGTGCGCGTGTGCGTGTGTCCGAGTGTGCATGTGTTGCTATGGATCAACTCCAGGGAGCCTCGGGTGTACAAAGCACTCACTTTACCACTGAGCTACACTCCAGGAGATGCTTGGTGCTTCCCAGCAGCCAGCCTCATGTCTCTGACCAGTCTCCTCTCACGTTCCTGGAGGACTGTTTTACATCTCCTCTCCACCTCAAATCTCCACCTCCTCCAGCTTCTCCTTCTTGGCTGATGACCACTTCCTGTTTCGATGAGAAATAGGAAGCAGTCTGAAGACAACTTACCCACATCCCAGACCACATCTCCCCTTCCTGCAGCATCTGTACCCAAGGCTCTACCTTCAAACTGAGGCTAGGCAGAGGAACCAAAGACAGGCAGAAAGGAGACAAGGAAAATCATAACTTTAAAGTTATATTTTTAAGGAGAAGTGCAGCTTCAGAATGCAAAGGTAGCCAAGGTCACAGTGCCTTTTCCCCTTTCAAACGACTCCAAAAAATTTCCCATGGGGCTGAAAGATACAATAAGCCTGTGACCTGAGCCTGTACTTTTGCCTGTAAGCTGAGCCCGAGCTTTTTCTTCCAGGGACCTCCATCCTCCAAGAAGCAGCAGTATTAAGTAGGCAGCAGATTTCTAAACTTCCAACGTACTCAAAGGGTTTGCATTCTAACTGGACCCCTAAATGAGCTGCCTGATGGACAGAGGGAATGCATATCCTAGATCCCCCAGCCTGAGGATGACCCAGGACCACACAAAAGCCCTAGCCCCAAACCATAGCTCCACACTGTCTGGTCAACGAGCCGCCTCATCCCCTACCCTTTCCGCCTCAAACACAGTGCAGTAGCCATCCCGGTCACCTTGCTCCTCTGCTGGCTGAGGTGACGCGTGTACCTAAGAGTAGAGAATGCCATGGACAATCACTGGGGTGTCGCAGGATACCACAATGCGCCCAGAGACGAGGGAAGAGAAGTCAGCCATGAGATGCTGGTGCTCTGTGCAGAGGACCCCAGGCAGAAGCTGTGGTGGGAACCCTCACCTAAACTGCCCATGGTTCCATGCACACGCACAACTGGACTCTTCAGGACTCCTGCGCTGCTCGGCTTCTGAGCCTCCTCCTGCATGGTGAAGAGAAACCAGAGCGCGCGTCTCCTTCTCGGAGCACATTCCAGGCAGCCCAGCAAGAGATGACTTCACAGGTTTCCTAAACAATTGGGAATGGTTTGCTTTGTCTGGCACCCCCGCCACCTTTTTCAGTGACTAAGAGTACTGCATTATGGGAACACATAGTAAAATTATTGTGGATTCAGAAAGCTCAGCTTTTCAGACCCATGCAAGGGAGTTTTTAGGGGCGCCATCACATGGCTCAAAATGCAAATGTAAAGGACTCTGAAACATACAGAAAGTATTGTTCTAATCTACATTCCATGTCACTAAAGATTGGAATCCCAATCTGAATAAGATGTTAAAAGGATTTCTCTTCGGCTGAGGGTTTACCATTATGACAGAGTAGCAAAAAGGGCTGGGAAATGTTTGGCCCAAAAACTCATAGCTGGAAGAAGCAAGGTTTCTTGTTGACTTCTGCAAAAACCGACTGCCTTAGAAATAAAAATGTAGAACGAAATGCAATAAAAAGATGAAGTGATCTGCGAATGTCTCCCTACCTTGCCAACCCTGGGCTCCGAGTGAACAGACTCTTACACATAAATGTCAACACAGCAATGGGGCTGTGCCCGCTTTTCCCTGGGGAAGGTCCCACGGGGGCTGAAAGCCCTGCTGGGTTGTGCCAGAGCTGAAAGGGTGACAAAACAAACAAGGAAAACCAAAACAACCCATGCTCACTCTGGAGAACAGTTTCTAAGCGCACCGTGTTGTCCAAAGATACCACTTAGCAGAGCAATGATACCGAAGCTCAAAGCAGGAGAGGAGCTGAAATACAAGATGCCCAGCACCATCTGACAAGGAGTGGGGCCACCTGACCAAGGGTCATTTCTGCAACAGTCAAATGATACCCGGAACCTCTTGCTCTGACTCTGAATGGAGAATCAGGGCATCTGGGGGAAAAAGAAGAAAATATAGACCATGAAACAACATCTGTCACAGCAAAGAAAAAAGCAAATTCAAGACTGGTTTGCTCAAGAGGTCACTTGCTGACAGGATCTAGTTCAATGTTCTGAACGACTAAAGTAATACTAAGTCAGTGATGCATCCTGGCTACATCCCAGCATGACCTTACTCTAGGGAAATTCAAACTCTCACACCACAAAAGCATAGACGTACACTGGGATGGCATCGTCATGACCAAATAAACACTTTCACAGCCTAGCAGGGATCCTGGAACTGGTACTGGCTGAAGCAATTCCATGGCAGGTTTCTGCTGGGTCTGTTTGTAGTTCGCTGGTTTGTAAAAACCTTATCTTTCCAACAGATCCGGTTAGGGTTTACCTTGAAACTCAAAGGGGGCTTTTGTTTTCTTTGGAAGCACTTTGAAGTCAGTACATTCTCCTGCTTAAAGGAGTACAATCAAGCCATTTATTTATAAACAGCTTCCTGGCCCATTTTCTGTTCTCTGTTAGTAGATGGTGACAGCCAGATACTGTAGTGTCTCCTAAGACAAGCACAAGTACAATCTTTTAAGACATACTATAAAAGTGAAATAGAAGAGAATACTAAACACCAAATTTATAGTAATGCATATGTCTGGAACAGGGTAGATGAGGCCACATGCGAAAGGCCCAGACTAATGCCAAGGCAGGGTACTGAGTGCATGAGGGCTCACACTCCAGGAGGCTGAGGCAGGAGGATCACAAGTTAAAGTCAGCCCAGGCAATTTAGCAACTTAATCAGAACCTGTCTCAAAATAAAACATACAAGGGCCAGGGATTTAGCTCAGTGGTTTCACCACCTGCTGCGCAAGCGCAAGGACCCGAGTTCAATCCCTGGTACCAAATAAATAAATAAAACATACAAAAAGGGGCTGAGGATGTAGCTCTGAGTGAAGGCTTTGGGTTCAAGCTCCAGTACCACTGTTTTGGTTTTTTTTTGGTACCGGGGATCAAACTTGGGTCCTTGAGCTTGCACAGCAGGTGGCGAAACCACTGAGCTAAATCCCCGGCCCTTTTTTTAGTTTGGGTTTTGTTTTTTTTTTGGTACCAGGGATCAAACTTGGGACCTTGTGCTTGTGAGGCAGGCACTGGAACCACTGAGCTAGATCCCCGGCTATCCAGTACCATTAAGTAAATGAATACATACATACATACATACATAGCCAGCAGCTAGTGCTCCCCTTCCTATATTTTATTCTCCAGAATAAAATTGTTTGTTTGTTTGTTTGAGGCAGGATCTCACTATGTAGTTCAGGCTGGTCTTGAACTCACTATGCAGCCCAGGCTGGCCTCAAACTTGTGGCAATCCTCCTGCCTCAGCCTCCCAAAGGTTGGGATTACAGGTGTGCACCACAAAATGTTTTAAAGGAGAGATATCAGCATTAATACAGTGATTGAAAAACAAGACTGCTTCCACCTCTCTTTCTTTTTTTGGTGGTACTGGGGATTGAATCCGGGTCCTTCACACTCCCAGGAAGGAGCTACACTCCCAGCCTTTATTGTTTATTTTGAGACAAGTTCTCACTGTCTCACTATGTCGCCCAGGCTGAGCTCAAACTTGGAATCCTCCTTCCTCAGCTTCCCAGAGTGCTAGGATTACAGGCATGGAGAGAGGACAGAGGTGGTTCACAATATCCTAGGACTTCTGAATGGGGTCAGAATAGAAAGGTTTGGAGCCGGGTGTGGTGGCAAAGGCCTGTGATCCCAGCACTCAGGAGGCTGAGGCAGGAGGATTGCCATGAGTTGGAGGCCAGCCTGGGCTACATAGTGAGACCTTGTTTCAAAAAACAAACAAAAAAAAGCAAAACAAAACAAAGAATACAAAGGTTTTAGATCCTAGGATAGGAAAATGAGGCCAAGGGGCTATGAAGATTGCTGCAATTCAGAGGATGGGAGTTGTATGAGAAGCAAACACAACCTGTGCTCCGCATTGTTGAGGCCAAGAATTGCAGCTGCTTCTCAAAGGACCATTGATTGACTGATTGATTGTAGTAGTGGGTATTGAATTCAGGGCCTTGGCACTAGGCTGTACATCCCAGTCCTTTTAAAATTTTTAATTCTGAGACAGGGTCTCCCTAAGCTGCTCAGGCTGGGCTCAAACTTGTAATCCACCTGCCTCAGCCTCCCAGAGTGCTGGTGACACAGGAAAAATATAACTCTCGACCTGCTCGTAGATGTCAGATGTGCCAAGTTCATGTCCCTGAATATTGGAGAGTGAATTTCAAGGGACAAAGGAGGTTAAGAATAGGAAAGGTTTATGAAGAGGAAGCTCCTGAGAGATGGGAGGGCTTCTGAATGGGTGGCTGCCGAGGAGGCCCTTCGTCAGGAGTGATTTATACAGCAAAATCACAATGCAGGTACAGCATGCGTCAAACTACAATCAACCTGTAGGGTTACAAGTATGGCCACTTAGCTAATATTGATCCAATAGGGAAACTCCATATAGCAGGGGTGCATGGGAAGATCAAAGGAATTCCTGGGAAGGACGGGAAGTATGGATCCACCTCTGAGTCTGATGGCCCCTGGGCCTACCAGACCAGGTGGTGCTATTTACAGTACAATCTCAAGTCGCCCTTTACTCCAGGGAGGCTGCAGGCCTGGCCAGTGCCTCTCCACCCCGAGGCCCGGCTCTCCTCAGAGGCACTTCCAGCCACAATTCCGAGGTCTCTATTTTTTTGTGCTGACTTCCTGAGGGCCCAGTCCCTCTGTGACTGAATGTTCATTTCTATCTAATTTAGCGCTTTCTAATACTGGGATACAGGTATGCTCTACCAGGACGGCCTTTGAACATTTCCAAAGGCTCCAATCAAAGCATTCAACAGGGGCAACTTCGCCTCCCATGCTCGAGCTGGACTCAGCGGAGCCAGCTGATGGGGCGTTGGTGGGGACCGTGCATGTGCAAAGCTGCCGGCTGCTGTGGGTGGGAGAGCTACAAGTCCCTTCTTCCATCTGCCAGGGCTGCTATTCTGGACCTCCTGTGGCAGCGTGGCACAAAGGGGGGGGCTGCATAAATAGACTCCGTCTGGTGAGGCCTGAATATTAACAAATTAAACTTTTCACACCTCTGCGTTCTGTCTGAAAAGATGCCTTGGGCCTCAATCTCAAAGCGACTTCCTCCCTGCTCTGCCTCGAAGTCCCCACCC